CCACTCTGATTGAGATGGCACTTATTTCCCTGTGGAGCAGCGGTTCTCAACCTGTGGGTCACGACCCCTTTGGGGGTCAAACAACCCTTTTACAGGGGTCACCTAAGACCATCGGAAAACACATATTTTCAATGGTCTTAGGAACCGAGACAAATAATTTTATGGTTGAGGGTCACCACAACATGAGGAACCGTATTAAAGGGTCACAGCATTAGGAAGGTTGAGAACCACTGCTGTGGAGGGGAGGTAGTATGTAACCAGAACTTCTTTTTTTTTTTTTTTTAACCTTTAGACCTGGCTCAGCATTTCCTGATGAGAGCGAACATCACAGCAATCCGCCGGGTGAGGAAAACTGACAACAACCGGATTGCAAGGTGAGGATGCCTAAATCACTAAATGTTATTAAATCACCGTACATTCTTTGCACGGGACGGCTAATTCCACGCACATCTGAACCTTCCGCCACTAGTAGGAAAACATGAGGATGGATAAAACCAGCTACCGACGGAAAGCAAGGCCATGGAGCATTACTAACAGCCCTTCTATGTCAGCTCAGCATTAGGGGAATCTTGCTTTTTTCTCCCCCTGGCAGGGCTTGTGGCGCTCGTATCGTCAGCCGCACGGATGAGTTGCGTGAAGAGGATGTGGGGACTGGCGCTCGGCTCTTCGAAGTGAAGAAAATTGGAGACGAGTACTTTACTTTTATCACTGACTGCAAGGAGCCCAAGGCCTGCACCATTTTGCTCCGGGGTGCCAGCAAAGAGATTCTAGCGGTGAGCAACCTCCAAGCGTCCCCCCACCCCACCCCTGAGAAAATAACTTCTGAGGCTGTAACAGGCACCCGAGGCTTTGGATTTTCCTTCTGAAGAAAATGGCCGTAATTGGGCTGGCTTTCTTACTCTTGATTTACAGTCAGCAGTGCTTGTGAGGGGCAGCTGTCTCTCATACCCACTGTTCAAGTGGAGCTTTGGGGGGCACTTTAAGGGCTTGCAACGATGTGGAGATCCTAATGGAGGCAGTGCAGCCTCCTGGCCTTTCACAGGGCTACAGGAAGCCTTTGGGCGACGTCCCCTTTTAAGAGGTGGGCCTGACTGTTTTTAGCTGGTTTCTTTGGCGTGTTAAAGGATGAGAAGGAGAGCAGAAAAGAAATCTCCACTCTTGTCTTTGAATCTCCAGCTCTCAAAAAACCCACGATTGGCGCTGCTGTGGGGGAGGTGAATGTTGGAAATAAGAAGGTGACTTGAGACAGTCACTAAGAACCACCCGTAGTGAGGACTTGTTTCTGGAAGCATTGAACTGCTTGGTTGGCTACTGAGGCGGGGGTGGCCCAGAATGACTGGAGGTGGGTGGGGCTTTTATTCAGAAGGGGAGGGTAATGATTCTCACAGACACAGCCCCCCCCCCTCCCCCCCAAGAATGGCTTCTTTTGCGACCCACTTGTCACCAAAAAATATTTTTAGAGGGTAAACAAATGTGCTACCGAATTGCTCTCTGACCTGCCAAACAGCTTCAACCTCAAGCCTTCAACTTTCACCCAGGCTGTTTCTCTCCTTCCCGCAGGAGGTGGAGCGTAACCTCCAGGACGCCATGCAGGTCTGTCGCAACGTCCTTGTTGACCCCCAGCTGGTGCCAGGGGGTGGCGCTTCTGAGATGGCCGTGGCCCACGCCTTAACTGAAAAGTCCAAGGTCATGACTGGGGTGGAACAGTGGCCCTATCGTGCCGTGGCCCAAGCCCTTGAAGTTATTCCCAGGACCCTCATTCAGAACTGTGGCGCAAGCACTATCCGTGTCCTCACTTCCTTGCGGGTGAGAACTGCCTCTGATCACCCGCAGGGCGAATTGTTTGCCTTGTGCTCTTTGCTCTTTCTGTCTGGAAAGGTCCTTGTGATGGTTGGGTGGAGAGGAGGAGGGGTGTGGTCATTGCACGGATAGTGGAGGAGGGGGAAGAGAAGGGACAGACAGATTATCTGTAGGAGATGACCAGGCTGTGGCAGGGGTCAAGCGCATAGTAAGTCACGAATCCCTGCGTGCCCATAAGAGATCTAAATCCAGCCCACCTTGAATGCCTCTTATCTCCCGCTCATTTCCCTTGACTGTTAGTAGCTCAGATTCTTGTCCTCCTCGTTTCCCTTCATTGTTAGTAGCTCAGATTCTTTTCCTCCTCGTTTCCCTTCATCGTTAGTAGCTCAGATTCTTAGAGCGTGCTTAAGCTTGCAATACATCTTTATACTCATTTGAACTGACCATAATCTCCTGATTTTCCCGGCGCTGGACATTATCTTTCCAAACAATCGTGGGAAGTATTTAGTAAAAAAAATAAAAAAAAATAGAATTTCTGACAATGAGCAAGAGGTGGGCTGGTGTGGGACCCCTTTGAAGTCGTTGGGTGGTAGAGGTGAAACACGGGGTGAGCTTCTTGGTCTGGGGGTGCTTAACTCCCATCTGCTGCTCACAGGCCAAACACACTCAAGAAGGCAGCCAGACCTGGGGTGTCAATGGAGAGACTGGAGCCCTGGCTGACATGAAGGACTTGGGCATCTGGGAGCCGCTCTCTGTCAAGTTGCAGACCTACAAGACGGCCGTTGAGGTGAGACGAAAGCATCCATGGCCCAAGGAGTTGCTCTGGGGTGGCCGGAGACCCTCTTAGCCATTGCCAGAAGGGTCCTTCCGACGAAATCTCTCAGACTGTGCTTGAGTTGAGGTTCTCCGGTTCCCTGGTGCCTTCTAGCCAGGTTGAATGTGGGGATAGGGACTTTGGAGGGTTATTGTCGTCTTCTTGATGGAGTGGTGGTGGCCAAGGGGTGGAGTTCTCACCTCACAATCCGGAGACTGTGAGTTCGATCGTAGGTCGAGGCAGATATTTCTCTCTCCGGGCACAATGAGAATATAATACTCCTTACTTCATACTTAAGTGGTCAGTAGAGGGGGGATTATAAGGTTTGTCATTAAAAGAAGTCGATTGACTTCTTCCTTGACGTAACCAGGCCACCTCCCTCCCTCCCTCCCTCCCTCCCTCCCCAGACGGCTGTCCTCCTGCTGCGGATCGACGACATCGTTTCTGGCCACAAGAAGAAAGGCGACGACCAGAGCAAGCAGCCCGGAGCCCCCAGCGCAGCCCAAGAATAAGCCGCTCCTTTGGCAACAGACCCGGGGACGGTTGGAGGAGGAGCCCCATAAGCATTTCAAGAGGACGTGGTTCTTCAGCCTCTGGATTCAAAGACGGTTGAAGGCCAAACACCGATTTGGTTTCTACTTCTAGGTCACGGAGGAGGAAAGCGGACGGCGTCAGCCCTGCGTTGGCACGTTTCCCTCGAGGAGACCGGCTTTTATTTAAATGTACTCCGTAGCTGCTTGGAGGCTTTATTAATAATAATAATAATAATAAAAACGCCCCCTTCATGTTCATAGATAACGTTTCGTTCTGGTTGTTTCCTCCCCTCTTTAACACTTAACCAGCTTGGCAGGCCGGTGGTTGAGAAGAGTTCCAGCGGCCAGGGGCTGGTCTGGCTCCAAGCACAGCGAGTTCTCGGCTTACAACAGTTGGTTCAGTGTCTGTTCAAAGTTAAGACGGCCCATGAAAAATGGGTGACTTGAGACCATTTTTCACGCTTAACGGTCCTGGCAGCATCCCCACGGTCATGTGATCAGAATTCAGAGGCTTGGCAGCTGGTTCGTATTTATGACGGTCGCAGCGTGTTCCGAGGCTCACGTGATCCCCTTTTGCGACCACCTAACCAGCAAAGTCAGTAGGGAAGCCAGATTCACTTAACAACAGGGTGACCGACTTAATAGCTGCAGGGATTCACTGAACTGTGGTCGTACAATGGGGCAAAACTCACTTAACAAATATCACAGCGACAAAACTATAGGGGCTCAATTGTGGGCGTAAGTCAAGAACTACCTATATTAAGACGAAGAAAAGCGGGATTGTTACAGAAGAGAAGGGGGGGTGGCAGGAGAGGAATGTCCATGCTTGGCTGGGGAGATGGGCTTTGTAGTGCCGTTCTGGAAGAGAATAGGTTGGAGGAAGCTGGAGTGCCTCTTCCCCAGGGTTTCTCCAGACACTCAAATCGGGAATCTGGAACCCAGGATCCAACTTTATTCATCCATTAAATCTCCAGATGGACTCAAATCAGTGGAACAGGTTGCCTTGTGGGTGTTTCGGCTCAAGGTTGATTCAGTCTTCCGTCCATCCGAGGTGGGTTAAATGAGGACCCAGATTGTTGGGGGCCAAGAGGCAGACTCTCTAAACCGCTTAGAGAGGGCTGGAAAGGCACTTGTGAAGCGGTATGGAAATCTAAGTGCTATTGCTATTGTCCTTCTTTTCCTTCCAATTAGAATGCAGAATTACAAGCAAACTCTACCCACAGTCAGGAATTCGATCCTGACCGGCTCAAGGTTGACTCAGCCTTCCGTCCTTCCGAGGTCGATAAAATGAGGACCCCGATTGTTGGGGCCAAGAGGCTGACTGTACACCGCTTAGAGAGGGCTGTCAGGCAGTACATAAGTCTTAAGCGCTCTTGCTATTGCTCCATTGGAGGTTTCATTGGACAGCCAGTTGTCCAGAATGCCATAGGTAAGGTCTCCTGCCTGAGGAAGGGGCTGGACTAGAAGACCTCCAAGGTCCCTTCCAAGCCTTACTCTGAGGAGCAGGAGAGAAGTTGTTTTCTGCCTGAGCAGCGGGTTGGACTAGATGACCTCCAAGGACCCTTCGTTCTATATTCTAAGCAAGGGAGAGCCCTCCTGCTTGGCTGGGAAAGCTCTCCAGGCCACCCGCCGGCCAGTCTCCCTCCCCCTCGGCCGGGGCGCTGCTCTTCTCTGCCCCCAACCCGAGCTTGAAGGGGAAGCCCCCTCCCCCTCCCTCGTTCACCTGAGGGCAAGGCTGGCTTGCTTTGCCGCGGCCCCTTTAAGGGAGTCCCCGCCCCACTTGGAGGGAAGCCCGGAAGGAACGCCAGCCGGGTCACGTGACGGGGCTTCCACAACCCTGCAGTGGGAAAAACATGCTGGCGGCGGCGGCGGCTTCTTGGGCCGGCCTGGCTCTCCTCTGGGCGGCGGGCGGCTGCGCTGGGGACGCGGGGGGCTACCGGAGGAGGGTAGGTGCCGGACGCGGGAAGGGGAACCGCCGGGCGGGCGGGCGGGCTGGTGGGAAGCGTCGAACGCGGTTTGCGGAGGCGGAGGAGGAAAGCGCCGCTCTGTTCATGCCCCGAGACGCTCTTGCCTTTCTCCCAGGCTTCCCCCCCCACACACACACACCCGAAGAGGCGGGTGGACATCACTGGGTCTCCTCCCTTAAATTCGAAATGCGGGTAGTCCTCGACTTACAGCAACTCGTTTAGTCACCGTGGCAAGTTACAATGGGCACTGGGAAAAAGTGACATCCCATTGATGGCCATGTTTCACCTTTATGACCGTTGCAGCGTCCATCACGGGATCACAGTTGAGACAGCTTGGCAAGTTGACCTCTGTTTAGGACGGTCCGCAGTGTCCTGGGGGTCACGAGATCCCCTCCGGCCACCTTTTTTGTAACCAGCAAAGTCAGTGGGGAAGCTGGATTCACTTAACAACTTACCAACGGCAGTGATTCACTTAACAACTGTGTCAAACATGATAGTCTTAAAATGGGGGCAAACCTCACTTAACAAATGTCTCACTTAACAGAAATTTGGCCTCAGTTATTGTCATAAGTCGACTACCTGTAATCTTTTTTAAAAAAATATTTTTATTGAACAATTTTCCTCATTTTATAACACAATGTTCATTTTTTTGTAACATTTCAGTATCGGTATACATATGGTTTCCAAACATTTGTGTTATATCTACCGTATATCTATTTTCTATATCTATATATATAAAGTGAAATGCCACTTGTGCATCATCACAAAATCTCCAGAACCGTAAAGCCTACAAACATGAAATTTGGCCCCTATGTTCCTTTTGGCTTCTAGGTGCTCATTAAGACAGGATTTTTCAAAATGGCCATCAGAGAATTAATATTTCCTACATTATTATTAACACGCTCTGATGCTAAGGAGTTCTACTCCCTCTCCCCACTTGAAAAGAAATCTCTTCCAAACGCAAAACACAACAGAGGAGAGGAGTTTCAGTTTCAGTTTTGATTTCAGAGCACCAAGCAGCTTTACTACAGAATAGTTAAGCTAAGCCACGCCCAGGCTCCTTGCTGTCTCCTTGCTCACACAACAAATACTGTTTCAGTTTCCAAACAGCCCTCAACTCACACACTGACAGGATGCTAGCCAGATGAATACCAATGGATGCTGGTAGGCAAAGGCAGAATTCCCCCCCCCACCTTATTTTCCTCCCCCAAAATTAAGCCCAACCACATTGTTTCGTAGCGAAGCACGGGGATCCAGCTAGTATTACATATATTTCTTTCCACTAAAATATGTACAATATGTATTTCTTACTTTAAATATTTTCCCTTTTACATTTTATGATGCATATTTTACATTTTATTATCCTGCCGTAATATTTCATATTCTTTATTTATCTTTATATCTACTGTTTAACCAATTGTACCATGCATTCCAAATCAAATAATATTCAGTGCAAAGGTTAAAACAACACAGAAGCCCTGTGAATCCTGGGCTACTCGGGGTCAAGCATAACCAGATAACCAAGTTTGACCAGGGCTTAAAACATTTCAAACTTGGAATCAGTCCAAACCAGGATTCCTCAATGCTGGCCACTTCAATAACTGGTGGATTTTCACACGAAAGCGTGAGAAAAGTGGGTGGCATGGAAATCTTATAAAGAAAGAAATATGCCAAACTCAGTTGTGGAAGACATTAAATCAGGGTTTCACAACCTGGACAACTTTTAAGGTGTGTGGAATTCCCCAGCCTGCGTGGCACTGAAGTCCACACCTCTTAAAATGGCCAAGGTAAGAAGCTCTGATCTACAGGGAAGCCCATGAACTTTCTAACTAGGTAGATCAGACCTTCCCCGTCCCAAGGCTGTCCCAGCGTGTGAGTGAAGAAAGGATTATGGGAGTTGGAGTCCTCCCTGCCGGGAAGGCACCCGGTTGGCACGAGCTCCTCCATATTCGTTGTATTTCCGTGGCTTTAAATCTACACTTTAAAACTTTATTTTATTAGGTTTTTTTTTAAAAAAAATGAAAATAGTTATGTAGCCCTCATAATCAACTCTGGATGGTTCACAATCCAAAGAAATCCGCTTACAAAGCAATGTTTAAAACTGTAAAACTAAACACAATTTAAAAATATTAAAAGCAACCAAACCCTGGCACCAAGTCATATTTTTTGATGTGGCAGTTATCTCATCCCAGCTGTGGGGGGAACCAAACTCGCTTGGTGAACCTTGTGACTGCTCTTTCTTTAATCCTGCCTTTATTATTTTGATAAATAACTCAAGGCAACAGCATACATACCTACTTTTTCCTCCTATCCTCCGCACAACAACAACCCTATGACAGGGTTGGGCTGAGAGAGACTATGAGTAATCCAACTTTACCCAGCTACTTTCAGGAAGTTGCATTAAATTATTGAATTTCAGTTAGGAATCAACCGATGGAACAGACGTTGCCTTCAGAAGTTGTGGGAGTGTCATCCCCGGAGGCTTTCAAGAAGAGACTGGATTGTCATTTCTCAGAAATGGCGCAGGGTCTCCTGGTTGGGCTGGATGACCTACTACAAGGTCCCTTCCAACTCTGTAAATCTTTTTTTTTTAATAAGAGTTTTTTATTTTTTTATAAGTACAAACAATTCATCTTCCATTTAACGGTGTGTCACCTGGGTACAGATACCTTGTGCAACAATAATCAAAATTACTACCATGTTTATTACATTGATATTAGTTCTCCATTGTTATTATTAATATACATAATGTCTCTCACACTATAACAATAACATGTTGAGATCTTCACTTATTAATATATATATCTATTATTATAATAATCCTCTTCTTACCATGTTTAATTCTATTAAGATATTTTCCTTCTTTCACTACTAGTTATTAGATGTCTAGCTTTCGTGTTTTTTCTCTAACCATCAATAATATAGTTCCCATATCTTATAATATTTAGATTGCTCCTTCTCTTTAATTGCCAGTGTTAATCTGTTCATTTCGGCATATTCTAATATTTTCCTAATCACATTTTTCATCAATAGGAATCTGATGAACTCTGTTAATCTGCTAGTTCTGCCTAATGTGGTTGTTTTAAAAAAAAAACTAGATTTTTTTTTAAACTTATCAAAAACAAAATATAGGCAACCCTCGACGTACAACCACAATTAGGCCCAGCATTACTGTTGCTAAACAAGACAGTGGTTAACTGAGCTTGGTCCCGTTTTATGACTTTCCTTGCCACAGTCGTTAAATGAATCACTGCAGTTGTTTTAAGTTAATCACCCAGTCGTTAAGTGAATCTGGCTTCCCCATGGACTTTGCTTCCCAGAAGGATCGTGAAAGGGCCCCCTGGACACTGAGACCGTCGTAAATAGGAGTCCGTTGTCAAGAATTTTGATCATGTGACCCTGGGGGGGCGTTGCTGCAACAGTTGTGAGTGTGAAAAACAGTCATAAGTTGCTTTTTTCTTGGTGCCGTTGTAGCTTTGTGATCGTTAAGTCAAGGACTACCTGTGATAGACATCCCTCTGGAACTCCATCACTGGCAGCGCAACTCCAATCCCTTAATTTGGGATTTTTCCTCCTTTCCTCTCTTTCTTTGCTGCTCTGGAGGAATAACCGTGATGGCGAACCTATGCCACAAGTAGTGAAGGATCAGATGATGGGATGTATGTGCAGAGGAGGCCAGATGAGGCCTCTGGGGGTCAGAGGAAGGGTCCTATGTGGAGATAGCACCCAGGCATGGACAGAATGGACACGAGAGGGAGGAATATGCATTCTGATAAAAACATTTTCTCTTGTCTTCCTTTCTGTGCCTTTAAGCAGCCTGGCTCCTTCCTGTCTTCTCCTTCTCTACAGAAGGAGGGGGGGTCACAGGGGAGTGGGGGGAGCCACCTTGAGCTGCTCTGCAATAGGAAAAGGGTTGGAACCGCACATTCTTAGCGAGGCCTTAAACCACTAGCCAGGATATCAGGAACAAGAATAGCTTGCTGATAAGAAAAACCCCAAAACCCACATAGCTGGCACATGAAACTGGGACACTTTGCAAGATACCCGTGACCTGGGGTGAAACACAGGTGACGCGACATTTAGCTGTGTAGGGGGCTGAGATCCAAATAACCAATCAATGTTATCAGTTATGCATGCATTATTAAGGGAAGGGCAAAGGTTGAATGCGACCATCCCTTGACTATGAGAAAGATTGTAATTGGGGCCCTTGGTTAGCCAGGGTCCTTATATCTTGATACCAAAATAAAAGTATATTGTATCACACCTTGTATCCCGTGACTAAGCAGCTTCGACACCAAGAACCCAGTTTTGGGGACAACAGTAGCACACAGAGCCATTTGTGCTGGCAGG